AAAAATGAACTGCTGTAGTGGACACATGAAGACATTGCGCTTCTAAGCTGCAAATGCGGAAGTCATTGCTGTGGGAGAAATCAATCGCAAAGCTCGACGAGGACAAGCTCCGTAAAATGGTGGCATGTGGTGGAGAATCTGTTAGGGACCTGAAACGACTCTTTGCCGAACAGGCTGGACTGAAGTTGCCTCCAACCTAATAGCAAAGGGAACCTAATAGAACAGGCTGGACTTACGGTTGTGCAGTTCTTTCAAAGGTTCCCACTATAGTCTTGGTGTGGTTGCGGAAAGCAATCCCTTTTGGAATGTTGCATGTTGCATCCCAAAGGGACAGTGCACTGCAGGTGCACAACACCTCACTTGAACTGAGAGAAGCCAAAAAGAAAGATAACTCTCATGACTTCGGAAGGGTCATGTGAAACTCTTCAACCGTTCAAAACAACATCTTGCTTGCTAAGGTCACCAGTAGCACCAGCCACACCATTAGCTCAACCGCATCGAGTGCGTGGGTTCCCAGAACCAATCTGGGGAAGCTTTGGCCGTCGTGGGCATTCTAAATCCAATTCTAAATCGATCATTTTGTTTGGAAGGCCTTCAGACGTGAGCTCAGTGGACGCTTGGAGCTTGAAACGCTTCATCTTGTTTATTGATTTCTGAGACTGTCGATGAGAAGGATGCAGAACATCCTTGGACACCACAAACTGCTGGGTTATTAAGAGTTGGACACGACATGAACAAAGTATGCTGTAGCCGTATCCTTTCTGCTCTTCTCTGCTGCAAGTATGGAAGTCATTGCCGTGTCTGGCGCAACAAACTCCTAGATTTGGGGTGCTTCTGATGTAAAGACCCAGGGCTTCTAAAGCGACGGTACCCGAATAGAAGGAGGCCACAGGAAGGCACCGATTGGCGCAGACCACCATGGCCACTCGGATGTCATGTTGCTCGGTGGAGCTGAAAGAAAGATGCACAGAGGGCGTCCCGACTGTGTGGGTTGCAGCTTACCGTGGCGACCCGGAAGTTGTGCAGTCGAAGAAATTGAGAACACGGATTGACTGGGATATCGCAGCTCAGAAGGGCAATCCGGACGTTTGTTCCTCGAAGCGACGCTGCGAAGGGTTTTTGCAAAAAGCTTGAGATTGGGAGGTTGTCAGGTCGGCGGGGTTGCCATATTGGACTTCACACGCTTTCTTATGGGGGGTAGGCCATAGAGGTCGCTAGAGGAATAGCTAGTAGCTTAAATAGCTACTACCGACTGGATGCAGGCTAGCTGGCACTAATGATTTGGTTCCCAGATTTTTAGGGAAACTTAACTAATAGGTTGCTGTTACTAGTTTGAAGTGCTGTCCTTTGTATATCCAAGCTTGCCTCGGGAAGTAAACTTGTTTTCGAGTGCAGGAAAGATCTGGAAACTCTGTTGGTGGTTTCCTTGGCTTTGGGTTTTTGAAAGGTCTTTGTAAAGGCTAGGGGGCCATCGCTACTAGTAACAAGTGCATCGCTACTAGTAACAAGTGCCTTACTAGTAGTAACAAGAAGCCATTAAGTTAAAATAGATTAATCTAATTTAATTCTAATGGCTTTTTGTTACTACTAGTATGGCACTTGTTATTAGTAGCGAGGCACTTGTTACTGGAGGCCATCGCTAGTAGGTGGGAGGGTAGATCCAGATCCAGATCCACCTCGAATCTTTCAGATGCCAAGGTCACGGCCACCACAGTGATGCTTAGCACGACCACGGCCAGTACATTCCGTGCAGCCCTTAGCATATTCTGCTTAGCAGACGTGGTAAGAGCATCAGTGTTGCTTGGTCTAACAAACGCATCGTCTTGATGATAAACATCTGGAATTACAGCCAGAAACACTATGGCTGTCTATGGTACTTCCCATCAGCTCGCCTGGATGTCGCATTGACGTTAATATCGCCTTGAGTCAGCGAGTTGAGCACAGACAAATCTGCACCTTTTTGTATCCTCGTTGGCACAAGTAGACGAGTCAGGTGGAAGCGCACAAGGTATGGCCTTAAGAGTACTCCCAGCGACTAGTAACAAGGGCATTACAACTAGTGTAACAAGGGCATGGCTACTAGTAGCTAGAAGCTACTAGGGGCTCCTGGCATCGCTACTAGTAGCAAGAAGCTACTAGTAACAAGGGCATGGCTCATCCAAAGGTATGTCTTTTGGGGCCAGACTTGGGAAGGCGTCTCAGGATGCCAATGCTCATTTTCTCTTGGAAGAGGACCGGCCTCCCCTCTAAAACCCGGTCTCTCCTTGCACCGTCCCAAGGCGAGCACAACGTGTCGAACGAGACCGCGTTTCTGGCGGGTTTTGGGGTCGCTCAGGGCCCTTTCTGAAGATGGAACTAGTTTGAGAACTTGCCATCTCCGTACATGGGGCATGGCGTCCTATCACAGCGTCTAGCCATCTACACCCACATCCCAGAGCGTCTGTCATAGTCTACCGCCATAGTTTGTCGAGTTGGACAGCCCGAAGTTAGAGCAAGTGTCTTTCAGACATGGAGTAGGGAGCACAATAAGGTGAATCCCGTTGTGTCAAACCAGCATCAGAGGGAACGACTCATTCTTGAGAAGATTCTAACTGAACTTTGTGAGTCGTTCCCTCCATGCCAGGCAACTACACTTGGGGGCGGAGTATCAGCTAGCACCACGACTCCCAGTGGTTCACTAAGCAGACTGTGACATTGGGAGATTAGTTCCTAGTAGCGAACATTGTTACTACTAGTAAGGCACCTGTTACTGCTAGCGTGGCACCTGTTCCTAGTAGCGTTCTTGTTACCACTAGTAAGGCACCTGTTACTACTAGCGTGGCACCTGTTCCTAGTAG